AAAGATGAAGAATGCCTAAGACCTCAATGCAGTAAAAGGGATTAGAAATCCAAGATTATTTCCATTGTGTTCTAATTTGTTTTCCCTAACCATGACTACAGCTATCTCTGACAAGTATTTAGTGCATCCCATGTGCTATTTAGCATCTGATGTAAGCATTAGATATATGCAGTTTTCCTCACCTAATTCCAGAGCAGAAATAAAAGGAAAATACAAAGTTTATCCAAGCATAATTCAAACATTATTATGCAGAACACGCTGAATTTTTACTTAAAGGAGATGAAAGAACCACCCTATGATACCAACCCAAACCTTTCCCATTTCTCCCTCAAGCTCCTACCTTTAAAAAAGACTCCTTTGTGTTAAATTTATGAATGAGGTTAGGGCTTACAAAAGTCAAGGATTAATAACATTTGCTTGAGCCAAAAACAGTATGATAGGCACTGTGTACGCTCCCCTCCAATCCATCTTAAGTCCGAGCTCCAGTACCCCTGCTGCTTTTCCAATCCGAGGCCTCTCACAGGCAGAGGCTGCCAGTGAAGGTGAGTGGTGCCAAACTGTCTGGTGGTTTTGTGATAGAGCCAGATGGGGACTATGGTGAGATGAAGCTCATTTCCACCCATGAGCTGAGCAAAGATGTGAATTTAGGAGAGAAGATGGAGTAGTGGGCCTTTCAGTCCTTACCAGCCACATAATGATAATGGAAATAAGAATAAATTGGGGCCCCCCACCCCAGACAAGTTCTGCACAGAGACATCCCACAGAAAGGTTTGTTGAGTGAATGTCAAAAAGATCCATACAATAGCCAAAGTGGTATTTATAGTTGATTTTTTGACTTGCAAAACAGAAGGACTGTCAGAATGGAATGCAAGACAACACAAAGAATCTTTGGCCTAGATTTTTTCAGGGAATTATAGAAGGCAAGGTATATGTATTAAACAAGCAGAGCCTAAATGGTTTTAGATTTGCCACGTTAGCTCCTACAATGCCAATTTAAACTATCACTTTCTATTAAAAAAAAAAAAGTTTAAATTGGGTCGTATTCAGTTCTGATTTAGAAACTCAATAGAAACCTAATGTTTAAGTCACAATTGTAGCAGCTGAAATGGTATTTAAAGTTGTAGGCATCCTGGCCCAAACAAAAAGGGAAAAAGGAAACCCTTTCCTTTAAAACTATTAGTGTAGACGTGGCTTTACGGATTGCATCAGCTACTAGGGCTCCAATTTGAGCTTGTTTTTTTTTTTTTTTTTTTTTAAAGATATATATTAGCATTACAATGGAGAGAAAATAGAACTCTGTTGTGTTTAAAAAGTTTAATCTATGCGCAGAAGCACTAATCTTGACAGAAAGCTAGATGCAGTTAAAACAAGTTCTCTACCCATTTTTAAGTAACCCAGTATATTACAGAAAAAAAACCCTAAACCTCCAAGCAATGTGTAACACTTTTAATTTGTAAAGCAAAATTTTTATACCCCAGGTAAATGCACTTAATTTCCAAACATATTCCAAATTTAGGTATCAGTACTCTCACCACATCACACCAAGTCCTAGAATCCACATATTTTTTCCATTTTTATTTAAGCATGCTTTTTACCATATGCAATGTATTTAGTATTTTTGCAAGTTTTTCTTTTTTAACTGTAAATTTCACTATCCACATTCTGCTATTTTTGCTCAAGAAACAACCAAATAGGAGACTCACTGCACTTTCCAATGTGATGGCGAATAAGTAAGACAAAATGCTGTAATACTGCCTGTCCAGGGAGCATCAGGTGATTGTTCTCTGCAAACCCTGAGTATCACAAAAATTATTAAAGTTTCTTTTAAAGAAAGAGAAAAATCTCTTTAAAAAAAAAAAGTGTGACTTTTTACAGAGACCTATAGCGAAGAGTAAAAAACAGTTTTATAAAATGTAGTTCAGTAACATTCCATTGCTTTTACCCATAATCTTCTCTAGTGTTTGCCGAAATCAATGCTAGTGAAGCCAAAGAACATATTCCAGAATTCTTCCCAATTATATGCTGGATTCGTTTTCCAAAATAGTTTTCAAATACACTGACTCTTGAATCAAAACATGTCTAATGTACAAATTAAAAATATGCATGCTTCAGCATCTGGGATAAAATCTAGTCAAAACATAAGTATAACCCAAATCCATCCTTCACAAAAAAAAAAAAAAAAATCAATGTTGTGTTGAAAAATGTGATTTTCACTGCTTTTCGAAACTCTGTTGAACAGACGTGAAGAATGCATACCTATGGATCTATTAATTCCATCAAAAATGTGAGGAGGTATTCCTGACCTGCAGTTTCTCCTGCCAAAGCCCCCAGCTTTGCAGTTATATCATCAAACCTGCTTTTACTGGCATGGCTACTTTGACAGAGAACATTCACTGCAGAGAACATTTGCATGTGCAAAGTTATCCCAGAAAAGACAGGAGCTCAGAGTATGAAGTACATCCACATTAACAGTATTTTGCCAGAAGAGCACATCAGCCAATCCTAGGAGGGTGTTGCCAAGCTTCAAGCTTTTCTTTGATTTCATCATCAGCACAAGAACCTGCAGGCAAGTTTTGCACTGACAGTGCAGGGGCAGGTTAGAGATCCACAGAGGCTTTCTCTCAGCAGCCTGACTTTCAGCCAGCACATTCCTCAGCCTCTGTGTGGGCAAAGAACCTGGTTTCAGAATCTTCTCAGCAGATCTGCATGCCCATAATCACCCAGCTATAGGCCTCATTAACAAGGATGCTGAATTCCTCCCCTGCTGCCAGAAACATTTTGAATTCTTATCAAAACATATATGCATATAAATATACATATAAATATATGTTTTTGTATATATAAAACATATATATGTGTATATGTATGTTTATAAAACATATATATATATGTATAAATAAAAAAAACCATACACATTCATGTTTAATTACTTTAATGTCAGCCATTCAAGTTTGGAAGTTCTAGGCTTTGCTTTTATTTTCTGTGAAAGAAAGGAAGAGAACGGTTATAAAACCATTTCAAAAAAGCATAATGTGGTTTGTTCTTGAATACCAAAACAATATGAAATAAGTCTGTAAATGCTTCCTTATTTTGGTTTCAACCAATGACATGCATCACCACAAACTTCAGCACTGCTGCAAACAGTGGCAAGCTGCTTAGGAGCATCTGTTTTATTTTACTGTGTCAGTTAGGGCTGTTTATCAGCAACAGAGGCCTATACACAAGTTTGCCAGTTAAAGACAAACAGTGTGGGTATTTTATATTCTTTGGATATACAACTTTTCTGTTTTGCTAAAAGCCACTTCTGAATCAGCTCATGCATGACTCTACCTGCTCTAGAAAAGAGCAAGAGTAACCTCAACTTAAAAAAGAAAAAAAGAGAGTGAAATAAACTGTTTATTCACATATTTTAATAACAACAGTATCTTCCCATCTGTTTAGTGAAGCACTGAAATTCGAAATCATAAGATAAAACAAATTCCTTCATTTGAATCAGGAGATGTTGCTGGTTAATCATTCATACATTGTTTACATCTGTAGTTACCCAAAGAAATCAGAACAAAAAAGAAAAGGACTGGACCTCAGGAAGTGCAGTAAGATGGAAAAGTCAAGCACTGGCCAAGCAGATATGGTCTGAGGTGCTCTGGCTGCATATAACAGAAGGGAGAGAAATCATTTCCCAGAGGAGCAGCTCCTCCTGCATTTCCCCAGCATCTGCTGTGCTGCGAGGGAAGCAGTGGAACCTCTCAGCAAGTGCGATGTGCCGCTGATAACTCTAGCATCACTTCAGCCTGTCATCAGTAAAGTAACAAGCACATTATTTACAGAAAATGGGATTCACTCCCTGCTAACCCAGAACATACTGCTTCAAAAGCTTCCACTCACAAGCTTGATTTTTCTGTAACACAGCGAGTACATTCACCACAATCTCTCAGTTGCTTTTCCTGCCCAAGTAGACCATAAAAAATACATGGTCAAGGAAAAGGTTTTTTTTTTTTTCATGTACTAGTGAGTGCCAGACAAAATCTGCTATTATACTTGTTTATACCCTCCAAGAATTTTTTCCTGATTTTGAAACCTCTGTACCTCAAAAGTCTATGTCACAATTTCCTTTTCTGTTCAGCATTCATCCACACTTATGCACAAATTCAGAAAGAAACTCAACCCCATTACCTTTCAAGGAAACATTTTCCTAACTTAGAGCCACAGACACCTTAAAAAAAATTGTATTAAGAAAACTTAAACACCTCTGAAATTAAGTATTATATATTTAATATATGTTACATACATAATATATGTATGTAATTATATATTCCATATTGAATATTACCTTTGTATACCTACGGGGGTAGGTGTCCAACTTTTATCCTCTAGGTTTGACTGCATAAACTTTCAAATTCCTGCAGGAAAAAAAATTTATCTACACATCCATCTACCACTGAATACACAGTGTCATTTAATAACAAGACTTGAGCTCACAGCAAATGCTGAACTCAATTCTCTTTGAAATAGTTGGGCCAGGATTCAAACAAGAAGTACGGTGCATTTTCAAATTCCCAGTGCTTTCTCCAGGAACTGAGGATCTTTGACATTCTACTTGCAAAAAAGACTGACCACTTTCAGTACTGAAACCTGGCATTAAATACAACACAGCATTTTAATAGTTAATATGTGGGAGTTATTATGGGTAGGATTGTGATCTGGATCATGACTCTCTAATTCCACTACAACACACATTGCAGGATCATCTTCTATTTGTATGAAGGAAATTGAAAGCTACTGTGAGGACAATACACAAATTTCAAATAGAGGCTGTGACTTCTGGGAATCATTTAGAGTCTTAAAATCACAGTTTCTGGACAACAATGCATGGTTGATCTTCAGTTTTGTAAAAAAGCGTATAAATGAGAAAGAAGAAAGAATTGTTAAGACAATTTGTACTAATAGCCAGAACTGTATTTGATAGCACTGGAACAGAGTTACAATATATTAAATGATACCTGGCAGGAGCTGTTGGGTAGATTACTTTTATATGTTGGAATGCCATGTCTTGATTCAAAATTTGTTTTATCCATGCTCTTGCTCCTTGACCAGTATCACCTGTATCACACAGAAGAGTACAAAAATTATTTAGCAAGAAAATTATACAATGTCAAATATACTTCAGATTGACTTAATTTCAAATTATGAAGTTAATACACTAAAATGCTAAAAAAGGACTTTCTAGAACAACTTCAGTCCTCTTTCCAATGGATTCAAAACTTCCTAGAAAAAGACTACTTAAGAGATGCCACAACATAAGTTTAATCAATACTTTACTACATCTCCCAAGCAGACACAAAGTTACTTGTGTCTTACTCTCTTACTTACAGCTTACCATATTTGCTCTTAAGTGATAAACAAAAATCTTGATGAACATCTTAAAAGGTGAGGTAAAATAACTGTTGTTCCCCTTAGAGAAGTTAATTACTTTTACTAGAGAATTTTATGTTAACCCACTTCAGAACCCAGTAAAAAAGATCTTCAGACTTAATTATGCTAACACTGCACATAGGCTTTACAGGAAAAGACAATTTGTAAAGAGATAGGTTCAGTTAAAATATCTAGCAGACTCTTAAAGAAATTTTAACCACACAGTTCTGTTTGAAAACTAGTTGAGATCCGCTCCAAATCTGTTTTTTTCCTGCTCTTACCAACAAAGACTATGGCCAAAACCTCTGCAGACTGAAGTACTACAAACATGATGAATTCTTCTGTAGATAGCATTTGCTTCTTTTAAATAAATACATATATATATACAACAGACAGTGTCTACAGCTTGTCTTTGCACCACTGGTATCTTCAGCCATAATTTCACTGCCACCCCTCTCAAGTGCAGGCACAAATAAGGCCTCAGTGTAATACAATACTTCAAGCTTGAACAAATCAGTCCATCAAGGAATATAATTTAGTAGGAAGGATGCTCAACCTAAAAAATTTAGTGGTGGCTCAGCAAACTGGAATTTTGCTACTGCCACTCATGCCATAGGACTTCAGTCTTGCTTGAAGTTGAGGTTCCCACATACTATCAACTCAAAATGCTAATCATCTCTATTATTTTAGCTCAAGTTGTTTGGTTTGACTTTAGAATTCACCCCATTCTTTTCAATAAAATGGCCAAACCAAAAGAAACAAATACCACTATCCTTAGCCAAGCTTATTGGCACATTACATGGGCTCATCTGAACAGTCACATAAATATACCAATCCATTGTAAAAATTATTATAATTCCCCAATAGAGAAAATCTGCTCTTAAGCACTCTAACAAAATTCAGATGGTTTTTATTTAAAACATAATTAATTTATCTTCAAAATTAGAACAGAAGGCAAGTAGGATTCCAACCCAGCAATTTTCTTCCTGTTAAGCACAATTAGCATAACTAGAACTAAGTGTTCTCTGACCTAAACACTCCACGTGGCCAAAAACAGGGTTGCAAAACTGACACAAATCTTACCCTGTGCTAAGTTAAAAAGTAAAACCCAAGTTACTTCCTTAACTAGATGCTTCAGAACACACCCCCACAAACACTTTGCTTATGCAAGTACTGTGATCTGAAATCCAAAAGCACCTCTGATTCTTCTCAGACACTTGACACATAAGGGTTTCCTCAAGGCTCTCGTGACCTCACTTATAAGCAATGTATCTTAGAGAGGCTTGAACTAACACTTTTTTTTTCCTATACACTGGAGCTTTTTTTTTCCTTTCTTTTTTTTTTTTTTTTTTTTTTTGGGGTTTTTTTTTTTTTTTTTTTTTTTTTTTTTTTGGGTTTTTTTTTTTTTTTTTTTTTTTTTTTTTTTTTTTCAGTTAGAAAGCCAAGGTCTAGGCCTTGCAAATACTTGCACGGAATAAATCTAAGTCAGCCAACTATCTGAATGATTACAGAATTGAGACTTACGTCTTTACAAATTCCTTAATGATGTAGGATAAATCATTATTCTACTATTTATTCCCACATCTTAAACTTCATAAAGATCTTCAGAAACCTCTACTGTTATTGAAGACAATTCATCCATGAATAGATCACAGAAAACTCAGTAAGAGAAAATTTAACTATGACCTTCTGTGTCAAGAACTGCCATGGTCCAAATGCTACTCTAATTTGAGCACTTGTGCGCTCAGATAATGTATTTTGATTTGCTAGGAACAGAACTTGAAGGAGAGGGAGGAAAAGAGGAGACTGTGACATCAAACAAAAGCCAAGAAACCTCCTGAAATTCTAGTCTTTCAGGGTCTTTTAAAATTTTAGCATTGTATGTTCTGAACACTACAAAAAGAAGCAAATCATGGGTGATTCTGCTTTGAGTCAGTTTACAAAGTGAAAAAGACTGATGGTAGCTATATTATCTTCCTCTCCCTCCTTAAGTAAAATATGACCTTCTTTCCTTTTAAATATAGGCTGTATTTCCAAGTTTTCTTTCTATGCAAAGTTTAAATTTAACATGTAACATGTACACTGGACATTAGGAAAAACTTATTCACCAAAAGGGCTTTCAAGCACTGGAACAGGCTGCCCAGGAAAGTCACTGAGTCACCATCCCTGGAGGTATTTAAAAGATGTGTAGATGTGGCACTTAAGGACATGGTTTAGTGGTGGACTTGGCAGTGATGGTTAATGGTTGGACTTGATGTTCTAAAAGGTCTTTTCCAGCCTATGATTCTGTGCTTGTTACAATTTGCAAAGCTATAGTCCTCAGCCTAAAAAGCTCTTACATGCTTGCTATATTCATTTGCCCTTCCCTGCCAAGCTACCTAATGGAACCTCTATCTAAATCTGATGTATAGTACCAGCGTTGTTCTAATACTTTTCTGTACCATTTTGCATTTGCATTCTGCACTTGTTATAGTTTGTCTAGAGCAAGCATTATGTACAAAATGGATTCATGCCATTTGACCGCCACTTTCCATCACAAGTGCTGAACAAAGGTTTACGACTCAGGTTTACAGGTCAGCCCACAGAAACAGCACTGTGGTGACTTCTGTTTTAAATTCTATTCTGGAACTGCTGGAAACCAAATAAAACCACCCCATTACAAACATTATAAACAAAATAATATGTATATAAAAAAACAAAATTGCAGAGTACTTTAACCACATGTGGAATCAACCTCTAACCATAATCTTCCCTTACTCCTCCAACATTACAGAAAATTATTTCCTTAAGCATTAAAGCATTAGCATTACCAAGAGAGCTGAACACAAAAGCTCTTTCACTTTCATTCTTTTACTCAGAGAATTTTTAAAAAGCAAAATTAAACTAGATTATAAAAATGAAACTAATTTAGTAAGGACACAATCTTTGTTAAACTAAACAGAAGCACCAGCTATAAACAAAAGTAAGGAAAAGACGGAAAGTGTTGATCATGTTGCCATATGCACATGGGCAGCTCAGTAGTATCGATTCTCAAGGCCTTGATCTAGTAAAGACCTAAGATTACTGGTTTTCTTTTTTTTTCTTTTTTTTTTTTTTTAACATCCTGTGTACCTTGTGGCTATTTAACTCATTAGAAACAACTTTTAAGGAATTAAACCCACCAAAACACACACTCCCCTCCTGTTCTCAGACCAGTCACTGATGTAGATAACTCCTCTCTGCAGAGTGTGGCTGTGAAGCCAGTCTGGACATGGACAGGGCCCTTCTGAACAATAAGAAGTCGTAAATGAACACTGGCTTTTAAAGGTTGCCAACAGCACAATCAGGCCGATTCTAAAACAGCAAGAGACACTTCAACTGTGAAAGTCATCCTTCAAATGTGGCTACTCTCTGAGAACGGCAATTTAGGGAGTAACACGACTCGAGAAAACGGTACGAAGCATAAGGTCGGGTATCAGGAAAAGGTTCTTCACGCAGAGGGTGGTTGGGTACTGGAACAGGCTCCCCAGGGCAGCGGTCACAGCACCAGGCAGCCTTTTCCAAGTCCAAGAAGCCTTTGGACAGTGCCTCAGGGACACGGCGTGACTCTCGGGGTGTCCTGTGCAGGGCCAGGAGTTGGCGTGTGATGATCCCGATGTGCCCCTTCCAGCCGAGCACGTTCTGTGATCTCCCGGAACGTGTGCGTTCTCACGGAAGCCGGTCTGGCGTGAGCTGGCCCCGGCCCTGTGGGACCCTCCCCGGGCACCCGCACACAGCTTTGCCGCCCACCGCCTCCACCTTGCGGGCCCGAGGAGGCCGCGGGGACAGGGTCACCTCAAAGCCCTTCCCCAGTCCTGGCGGCCGCTACGGCCACCCCGTCCCGCTGGCCCCTCCGCAGCACCGGAGGGGCCGACCCTGCCCGCTTCACCCGCTCCCCGGAGCGCCCCGTCCCCACGAGCAGTGGGCAGAGAAGGGAGTGAAAGCAGGCACCTGAGCCGTGCAGGAAGATGAGGGAGGCGGTGTGCCTGCCCGCTGGGGACACCACGCTCCGCTGCAGCGCTGCGGGCGCCGCCATGCCCAGCGCTCTCCTCCTCCGGGCCAACCCTGCCGGTTCCGGGCCGGCTGTCTCCCTGTCTCCGCCCCCGCTCGTCTGCTGAGGCACCCCGGGATCTCCTGGCACCGTGCTGGGAGGATTGTCGCTCCAGGTTTGCTGCGCTGGGTCAGCAAAGCTTTACATGCAGTGCGGACTGGTTCCAGACGCCGTATATTTAGCAGTGTCCTGTCACAGGGACCGGTCTGCCCCTTTTGTGTCACACGTGAGAGAGAGAAAGCCCTGCGGGCGTGTGTCCTAGTGGACTCCCTGCCTTTATTCGAATAAAGTTGCAGGACTCCTCTGTCTCCTTTTTGGACGTGAACCTCTGGCGTTTGTGGATTTTCCTAGCGCACGTGTGCGGGGAGGTGCGGGGCTGCAGCTCACCAGGAGCAGCCCTTCAAGGGCAAGGCCTGGCTGCAGGAGAGCCGAGGGAGGCGGGTGGCACTGGTAGCTCCTTCGAGTCGCTGCAGAGACTGAAGGATCTGCAAGGAGCACCATGAAAAGGTCCCGCCGACATTTGAGAACTTGTCCGACCTTAATCCATGTCTTAATGCAACTATCCTGATGCTCTCGCTAGTCTCTACTGAACTGCCATAAGAGTATGAGTAGGAGTTTACTTTTGCACTTTTAGGTAATCTATACACGGTCAAGGTCATATTTCACACCTCCCCCATCCCCCGCCACCCCTAACTAGTGCTCTGCAGATTAGCCACCTGCTTTAGCGCTTTGAGGTCTGCAACAATGGGACAAGGATGGCCGGCTATAAACTGCACTGTTGCCATTTCACTGGCCAGGTGCAGTGCGGCCCGGGGTGAGCAGCGAGTGCAGGGATTAATTTTGCAGTTCATCACAATGCGTTTTGGCAAGCCATAGGGGCTCACCTGCTAGTTCTTAAAAATGTAATGAAACCCTAGCCTCTTGAGGTAGCATGTTATTACCTTCAGAATGGCCTGTGGGTTAAGTAGATGAAACATCAGTGTGTGTGTGTGTAGTGTGAGGAGCATGCTGTGCTTGTATTTCTGTTCAAATTACTGTCCTGACTACTCTATTCCTGTTTATTTAGGCCATGAAATTTTAGGGCACTGGTTATTTTGCCCCTCTAGAATTTATGCAGCTGTATTTTTAATATATCTGAAAGTGTTCTGCAGTGAGGCCAAGAAGTAAAGAGAAGGAAAAAAATCTGATAGTTGGGGAAATTAATAAATTGCATGGTGGGGAAGGAATGAAAGGTATACCTAAAATTTTCTATAGTGTCAGTTGTCCAGTTGAGGAATCCAAAGTCTCAGCAGTGTAGTGCCAAAATTAGCAAGTCAGTATTGGTGGTATTTAGTAGCTAAGCCACACCTTTCTTTTCCTTTGACTTCCAGTACACAAAAACAATTTTGGTATTTGAGCCATTAAGCTCAAATTTTATTAGCTTAGAAGGAAATTTAGTTATTATTATAGGACAGAGTCACTTATTTAATTACACTTATTTGCAATATTTTAATTTGTCTTACCATCTTTCATGAGCAATGTCATTTTTTGAGGGTTATTATTTGTGAAGAGTTACTAAACAAAGGTACATCAGTGATGTGTGGCGTTAGACACACTCTTCTACACAGTTATGGGAACAAACCATGATCAAGTTTTTTTAAAGCTTATAAATTCATTCCCTGCCTCTGAGTTACAAACTTGGAGGTACAAGATTTCTTTGTACCAACAAATAAAGCTTGATGCCAGGAACAAAACAAAGAATAAAATATCACACTATGCAAAAACAGTACACAAGGCTTGGAGGATTTTGTGTATTTTTTTTTTTTTTAAGAAACAGTCCAGGCATAAGTACTATCCTTTTTTTTTTGTTTTTTCCTGACAGAAAACAAAGAACAAGCTAACTTAATCTTTCTCTGAATAGAGGGAACTACAGGGCTGGCTTCAGGGAAAATACAAATATTTTTTTTAAAAGGGACAAAACAGAGATCTACATAGAAACTTGTGAGAGAGTAGGAGCTCTGAACAAACATAAGTGGAAAAATGGTGTGTTACAATTCGAATGACAACAAATATATTGCAATAACTTGTTATTTATACCTGAGGAAAACATTTTCTTGGGTTGCTTTTGATGTTTATTAATTATATTGAATATTAAAGATATTAAATTACATTTAATGATTTATGAAATTTAATTAAATTTTTAAAAAAACCCCGAACCCACCTTTCATACTGTAATGGGTCTGAATCAAGTTCTCAGACTTGGCCAGTAGGTGATTCTATTGCTTCTGGGAGTTTTCTGTTGTTACAGGAATAAGAGCCTCCTTCCCTGCCAGTTTTGCCTACTACCTAAAGGAGGGGAAGGAGGAAACATGCCTGGAGTGAGAACTAGGAAAGGGTTATAACTCTTTTCCTGGGCCAGAGCTGTAAAGCCAATGAAGCAGAGAGATGCAGCCCATAGAAATCATGGCTCCTAGGAACTAGCCTTAATAACAGAAAGGACTCTCCTGAATTAATTAATAGTATGTTAATAACTGTAGAAGGTTGTAGGCAATATGGAAATACCTTGCAAATTTTGTTAAACTAACATATGCCTAAGTTCTAATGCTTGTGGTGTTTTACAGGTCTTTCACTGCTGACATGTAACATCTCCAAAAGGAATTTATTACATTTCACAGTGTTAATAAAATGTGATCCCACACCCTTTAAAAACATATTCTGTTGCAATTGCTTCTCTTTTTATTTTTTTCTGGTCTTTATGAAATAAATGGATTACATTGTGACTTAAATGTGAAATAAATATGGAAATGTAAATGTGTGGCCATATTTAAGTTTTCCAAGAAAGTAAATGTTAAGTGTGAGCTTTGTTTTGTTCCTTAGGATAGGCCCTTGCTCTAAGTGCTCACCGATTGGGTTCTGTTCCCTCACACTGACTCTGCTCAGAAAAAAACCAGAAGACTTTAATTTACTTGAAACTATTTTGATACTTTTTCTCATTTAAAACGGCTTTGCACTTTAGAATTTACTTTTGCTGAAAGCAATATGTTGCAGAGTAATTTTTATGTTCAGCATGTGTACATATATAACATCCAGAAAAACTGCTACAGCTGTATATGCAGAGCTAAGGCTCCTGCACTCAATATTGAAAAATAGTTTTCAGGTATTGTACAGTTACTGTTGGGGTTTTTTTAATAGGTGAGTTAATCCACAGATGTCTCACTGGTGATTACAAAGAATTGTATCTGATTTCTATTTGGTTGTATTATTATAAAATACTTAGGATTATATTTCTATGTAGTTATTATATATCTAGGTGATTTTGACAGAAGCAGGGATTGTGGTATAGAAATAAATATATCAAATGTTTGAAACTTTTCAAATCCCCCCTTTATTTTCTTTCTCAGTAGTGTGGCATTATCATCATCACCATATCAGGAGATGGCATAATTGAGTGAAGCTCCTTGTATTCTTCATTATTGAGCGTTAAAATTAAATGCTGAATTTGACTCTTTTTACATTTCTTCCCTCTCCTACACTTCTTCCAGGGCTCAAGGGTCTGTCCCCTCTTTTTCAGACCTTCATGCCAGTTCATGTGGTCTGATAAAAACAAGAAACTGTCCTCTAATTTGCAGGTGGTTTCATGTGGTTTCCATTGGAACTTGGTGGCACTGCTTTGACATAGAATTTATATTTTCATGTTTCTGCTTTCACTATACATCTTGGCGTAGTTTATTCTGAAAAGTTCTTGTCAATAGCTCATTGCACAACTGCCACAATACAGGTAGGAAGTGCCGCAGAAATTACTATTCAAGCACACAAGCTAGTAGTCCATTTATCATGCAAAACTAATCATACTCAAACCAAGCCAAACAAAAATGTATTTCCATTCGTACTTTTTAAATAGTTGAGTCTTTAGCAAATGATCAACTTTCAAAATACATAGATTTTGAAAAGTTGTTTTCTGTCCAGTCAGGAGTATGTTTTGGAGCTGCATTCTCCTGTTTCTTAGAAAAAAAAGACCCACGGCTGGGCTGCATCAATAATATCATGCATCCTTGGTACGATTTAGTGTGGAGTTCAGTAAGGGATATCAGTCCACAAGAGAAAAGCAAGCATGAATACTGTCTGGCATCATGAGATCTTGACCCAATGTTTCTAGTTACCAGAACAACGTAAGCAAGTAATAAATAAATAAATCATGTTCTTCTTGCCCCAAGAGACAATCAGTTTTTAGGGTCTTGAGACATAATTTTGCTAGCAGGAGCCAGATATTTACTGCATGCCATCCAATTTATTTAAAAACCAACAAGGGCTCTGTTGCAGGGACAACAGGAGGCTGTTCCCTTCTTCAGGAATCTGAGCTTATACCTAGCCAACAAGCTGCCAAAACAAACCCAGTCTTGGCTATGTTTGTGGTGCCTGTGTGTTTCTTCTGCTTGTTCTTTGCAGCAGGTTTGCTATTTCTGACTCATTTGGAAGTCCACTCAGCTGCTGCATCTTCAGGCACCTTTCAGGTAAGCTTGTTGGTCCATCTTGTTTAGCTCAGAGCCTGCTAGAGCCTGGAGGGACATTCCTTGACCCATCTTCCCCAAAGAATTTCACAAATATGCTCAGGGCTTACCAAAATCATATTGACAGTGTTCTCAGCAAGTAGTGAAGCTACTTTCTATCAATATATGGACTAGTGGTGTCTGGCTTTTATTTAATGTGTTGGTGTGAATGGTTTTACATGGGTTTGAAAGTTGCTAGTAGAGCTGCTTTATGTATCAGACAGTATTTCAAACACTCTCCTCCAGGGTGGTGAACTCACCTGAACATGGGAGATCTTCTGTAGAAGATTGAAGTGCTGTGGAAGGATTTGGCTCCATGGGAAATGAAAGATCCTTCATCAGTTTAACTTGTTT